GCGCCCGCCCTTGGCGGCAGGGGGAGAAGCAGGCCCTTGGCCTGGGTGGGGCGCGGGCTCGCCCGGCGGGCCGCGGTGAGGTGTGCCTGGTGCCCGCTGGCTGCCCGGAGCGGGTGTTCTGATGTAAATTCGGAGTGGTTGCGACCGGAGAACACTTCACCTCTGTCAGAGATGCAAACTGTTTGCTGATAAATATTTCCTTACTTTAAAGGCGAAGCTACATGCTTGAGCTTCTTCCGGTAAACGCCGAGGGATGTCGTCTTCCCTAAGTACATTTGCCAAGTTGTCGAAACAGCAAATGCTAACTGCAACAGCCAATATTCAATTTTAGCTATTAATCACAGGCTCGTATGTATTTTTTTGGTATAGCTGAGTTTACTGACAGAGTCCTGTGGAAGTTCAAGCATGAACTTCAGAGACGGGAATTTTTTTACAGTGCTTCTGAAGAAATGAGGAAGCTTTGTTTTCACCTTAATTTTTTTTTTAAGTATAGGCTAAGGGTTTGGATGTACAGACTAATGTACCCACGTTAGCAGAGTATGGGTTAGCGTAGTAGATTATTAATAAAGCCATTTGTGTATCTAAAAATGGAAATGATTCTAAGCTATAAGTGAAAGTGGGGGGGAGCTTGCTGGGAAGTTAATCTGCAGTTGGGAAACTGGTTGTTTTGTCTCACTTGTGTGCGTGAGAAAGGGCTCTAACAACTGCAACTGGCTTGTGATTTTGCCGCTGTAGAAAATGAGGCAAATCGGGGTGGGGGGAGGAAAAATTTGAGGGGGGGAAGAGTGTACACTACTAAAGTTTGACATGATTAAGCATTGGGGAAAGAATACGCGACGAGATGCATCTGAAGGAAAACATTCCCCATGAAATCAGTCATTTATTCTGTTAATTCTGTTGCTGTATGCCACAAGTCAGTCAAACCATGGTGATAACTCCTTACTGCTCTGCCCACAACCCGTTGTCCTCTCCCTTTTTGACTTAGCCTTCCCTCCAGGCCTCGTGCTATCAGGTCTCTCTGTTACTCGGATTTTGCTGCATGATAGCATTTTCCTGTTGCCCTCTGTGCTCTCTAGGACTGACCGATTTCTTGCCTAAGCTTTCCTTTCTTGTCTGACTCTTCTCAGTCCCTCTTACCTGGAGAAATCTCCCGAGTTTCCACTGTACTATCACTAGAGGATGCAGAGGTCCAGCACCTAGCCCAACAGAGTCATCTGCTCAAACTCTTGATCTTACCCCAGGCTCCTGGCCCTGCACTTAGACACTCAGCATTTCTCCTCTTCTGTGATCCAGATGTCTGATTTCCCACTTCAAAACAGAACCACTTCTAACAGTTTAGTTCTCAGGCTCTTCTTTTCTTCTGCAGACCCCACCCACCCCCCCCCCCCGCCCCCCCCTCCCGTCCCTATCCACAGCTTCCGTCCTTCCTGCAACGTTTTCCTCCTGTCCCTTTCCCAGCTCCTCTTAGAGCCTCAGCTGCCTTTTCTCTGCGGTGTGGAGATCAAAGAGGGTGGCTGTTGAATAACAGCTGCTGCTGGTTCTTCTGGGCTGCTTCCCTTCTTTTGACTCAGCACCGCGCTGGCGTGTCGATCCGCCCGACGTGCTGCACTTGTACGTATCGTGGTGCGACAGGGGCCCCCTAAGTCACAAACGAGAACTTCTAGACCAGCGCTATGAATGCGTTACCGTTCCGTCGAGCACAGAAGGTTCTGCCTCGGGGTAGATGCTGTGTCGCAGTGATTTAAATTTAGATTTCTTGTTATGTAGTAACATATTTTCTTCCCCTTGCAGGTATCCTCTGACAAATTACACGTTTGGTACAAAGGAGCCCCTGTATGAGAAGGACAGTTCCGTGGCAGCTCGGTTTCAGCGCATGAGGGAGGAGTTTGACAAGATTGGCATGAGGCGGACAGTGGAAGGGGTTCTGATTGTACATGAGCACAGGCTGCCCCACGTGCTGTTACTGCAGCTGGGTACCACTTTTTTCAAGCTGTAAGTGTCTTGTTTCTCGAATGTAACTTTTAGTTTAACTTTATTGTCACAGACCACTAAACCTGCGGGCTAGAGGTTAAAGTGCGGCTGACTGGTAGATGTTTCGAATGCGATTCATTTGTTGCAAAGACTTAGCGTGGGAAAACATTTTTTTGAACGGTGGGGCTTTCATCCAAAATGTATTTGTCTGACTCTGCTCATGAGGGGGGTGACTTAGCTTTGAACCGACTGGAAATCTTAGTTGCGGTGCATCACTACGGTAAAATCCTGTGTAAAACGCATTGTCAGTTGGTAGTGTGGTGTTCTTGCATTGGGAAGGCTGTTATGCTTGAATATGCTTATGCTATGGCCGCAAAAATGGTAAAGTGAAGCTCGAGGAATAAACCCCCGTAAATGCAGAATGGTGTTTGCTTACAAACTGCTGGGCGAGCTGGGTACAGCAAGAAAGGTGGGCATCTGAATTTGAGAAAATTGCTTCAGTTCATCTCAGTTACCACGGCCGGAGTGAAATTTTAGTATTTGGATCATATGATCGTAGTGATGGTGGCGGTGCTTGTTTTCTTTTTTTTTTAAACTGAATGGGCTTGACTTGTCTCAAGTTATCCTGCTTGTGTTCTTGGTCTTATGTTTTTAACATTTATGGTGTTTGTTCTGAATTGTGCGTGTGTGAGAAATCTAATTTTTTTTTTAATCCGGATTCTTTTTTGACGTTTTGATTTAGGGGATGTGTGTGGACAAAATAGGCTAGACTCTAAAAGTTTCGCAAAAATCTGTAATGATGAAAATGTTTTTAGTTTTTTTTTTCCATTAACCTTGCGTCGAATGCAGGATGGTTCCCCACCTGAGTTTTATTTTCTGCTTCCTGTGTGCTTCAGTGAGCGCTGTTTTTGAGATAAGAACAAATATGGTCAGTATTTACAACCCTTTCTTCAACTTCTGGTGCTTTTATGTTACTGTTAAAACTTCACCTTTTCAGTGTCCCAGTTGTTACGTACGT